ATGTTGTGCTTCTTCTTTCAATTAGACCAATAATTATTGCAAGTACATAGAATGTCCGGAAAACAAAGAATCACAGAGGGGACCATTCAAATAACAAGCAGAAATGAAAAGATACGAACTAAACTCCGTTTGAAATGTAATATGAAACCATTACACCAGGACAATTATTTTAGCATGTCAGTGAGAGTATCATCACACTATCTTTCTGTTTATAAACGTCGGGTCAATAGGGTTTTGTGGCAATGACTGCAAGAATTCACAATACAGGAAACATCTGCTGCCTGTTGAATTTTTTATTACAAATAATATTGTCAAACTGAATTGAAATATATATATATATATATATATATATATATATATATATCAACATGTGGGTTGTGAAGATTATTGAGTCTAGATTGATATCATGAATATATAAATGTCAAACCGCCATTGAAAACCTGGAAGCACTGGATGATTGTTTCATTGCACTATATAACTCCCCAGTACTGAACATTCACGATCCTGTACACTTGATAAGAGTCCGGGAACCCCTTCTAACGGTGTTAATGTCTAACTTTAACCAATCCAACTTACCTTGAAATCGCTCTCTTGCTTCTGTTTGGCTCGTCCATAAATTATAGTCTTGCCCTATTCAATTTTTGTTATTATTCTTAGTCTCACCAGGTAAGGTAACTGTGGTTGATTTCTTCCAAATTCTATTTTTCTCATGACCTTCATCCTTTCTTGATTAGTTACCGCTACTTTTAATTCGCTAATTCTCCGTATGCCTAAAGGACATACTCTCATTATTATGTACACTGAGTTGTACATTTCAAGTTTATCTGTTTGTATCAATGTGCATCATGACTCAATCCCTAACTTGGAATCCGGAAGGGAAGCGGAAAAGTTGAAGGCCAAAGAACACACTACGCCGGGAAATAGAAGCAGACAGGAAAAGGATGAATGTTAACTGGAAAGAACTGGAAAGGAAGGCTCAGGACAGAGTTGGATGGAGAATGCTAGTGAGCGGCCTATGCTCCTCGACGAGGGGTAAAAGGCGTAAGTAAGTAAGTAAGTAAGTAAAGTAAGTATTTGTATCGTCTTTTCTACACTTTATTTTTATGTGTTATACGATTGCGTGCTATGTGTTATACACTTGACGAAGAAGCTTTGGAGGATGTGGAAACCTTTACATATCAGGGCAGCATCATCGATGAACACGGTGGATGTGATGCAGATATGAGGGCACGGATCGGCAGAGCAAGAATAGCATATTTACAACTGAAGAACATCTGGAACTCAAAACAATGGTCAATCAACGCCAAGATCAGAATTTTCAATACAAATGTCAAGACATATAAGATAACTCCTTGAAAAAGCTTGGACCAGATTGGCAGGCAAAACGTTGGATTTACTTCAAATTCATTCGCCGAAATTTTACAAATATATTATTCCTATTAAATGTCAAGACAGTTCTACTGTATGGGGCGGAAACATGGAGAATAACGAAAGCCATCATCCAGAACATTCAAGTGTCTATTAACAGTTACATACGCAAAATACGTCAGATCTGTTGGTCAGACATTATCAGCAGCAATCTACTGTGGGAGAGAACAAACCATGTTGCAGCCGAGGAAGAGATCAGGAAGAAGCGCTAGAAGTGGATAGGAAACATATTTAAGAAAGCACCAAACTGCGTTACAGGACAAACCCTCACATGGAATCCTGAAGGTCAAAGGAAAAGACGAAGTTCAAAGAACATATTACACTGAGAAATGAAGACAGACATCACAAGAATAAACAGCAACTGGAAAGGGTAGGCCAGAGTGGTTTGGATAATGCTGTTCAGCGGCCTATGCTCCATTAGGATTAACAGGTGTAAGTAAGTATTCGGTCTAGAATAGCACTGTTTGTATTCAAGTGTCTCAATCATTTCTCAATTTGTTAACATCATAAACCAACCGGAAAGCCCAAAAAAAACTTAACCATTTTGATTAATATATATATGACTTGATTTTATGATGACTTAGTTATAAGCGTTTCAAACCTTTTTTTCTTCGGTTAACTTTCCTATTGTTTCTACCTTATTAGACTAGATATTGATCACATTTATTTCATTCCATTTTGACTAATTGCGTTGCATAAATTTCACTTATTATCAACATACATATTCGTACATTAAGTAAATTATTTCATTTTGATGGAGTTTGGTTTTTTAAGCTGGATTGTTTGGTCGTGAAGATTTCGTCGTTATTCTGAACAACATCATCAGCACAAACCTTGAGTTACTTACTTAATTACTTACAACTGTTACTCTCAATGGAGCATAGGCCGCCGACCAGCATTCTCCAACCCACTCTGTCCTGCCACTTCCTTTCTAATTCTATGCAGTTGTTGTTTATTCTTGTGATGTCTGTCTCCATTTCTCAGTGTAATGTGTTCTTTTGTCTTCCTCTTCTCCTTTGACCTTCAGGGTTCCACGTCAGGGCTTGTCTTGTGGCACAATTAGGTAATTTTCTCAATTCGTGTCCTATCCGGTTCCAGCGCTTCTTCCTGATTTCTTCATCCGGTGAATGGATTCTGGTTTGTTGTCTCCCACAGTAACTCCGCCTGTAGCTCTTCCGGGGTCTACTGCCGGTCCCAAGCCCGGGTAAAGGAGGAGGGTTGGGCATCCCGTAGAAAACCAACTCGTTAAAAAAACGCTAACAAACCTTGAGTAGCAATGAAGTATTCCAATCTCTTCACATATGGCTCACAGATTTTCCTGTAGACCTCGACGTTGATTGTTTACTGTCGTCCTTAGACCTGTCATTGTTTACTTCTTTATTTTGGTTGTATCTCCCGTTGGTTTGATTTTTGGTCCAATCTGTGAGATATATGTAGAGAAATTCGAACATTTCACTTCTACCTGAAGTTTGTACTGATGATGTCGTTCAGAATAAATACGAAAGCTTCATGACCAAACCATCCAGCTCAGAGAATAAAATTCCATCCGAATATTCCACTTTAACTACATATCTTCTCCACTATGTCATAATTTATTTCATTTAGATCCTATTGAACAAATTTTGGAATGCAAAAACGGTTTCAAATTGAAAATGTTCTTTTTTCTGGATGGATGAGTTTCTACAACTTACTACGTTCAATTTGATCTATGTTTCGTTCTTAACACTGAACATTTATGATCTCTTCAGAGATCGATTATGTACAGTTTAATAAAAGAAAAGAATATGTAAACTACATTTTACAACTGATAACAGTTGGAGATAAATAATACTTTTGTTGTTATGTAATAATAGTCCATGACCACATTATCCATCTATGTCCTTAAAAAAGTTATATGAACAGCAAATTAATATCTTTTCTTAAAATCGAACCAGGATTGTGTAATTGATAGAACTGAAGGAAGGAGGCGATAATTAAGTCTAACATTCAGATATGAATTAAACCATCACTTACTTACTTAATTGCTTCTGTTAGTCCTCCCCCCCTCAATGGAGCATAGGCCGCCGATCAGCATTCTACAACCCACTCCGTCCTGGGCCTTCTTTTCTAGTTCTATCCAGTTGTTGTTCAATCTTGTGATGTCTGTCTCCATTTCTCGGCGTAATACGTTCTTTGGTCTTCCTCTTGTCATTTGACCTTCAGGATTCCATGTGAGGGCTTGTCTTGTGACTCAGTTTGGTGATTTTCTCAATTTGTGTCCTATCCCGTTCCAGCACTTCTTCCTGATTTCTTCATCCAGTGAATGGAATCTGCTTTGTTGTCCCCCACAGTATCAAGCAACCAATACAAAAATAAGTTAAACTTCACAAACTACGCAAGTTAGTGATTACCTGAACTCAGTAGCTGAGTGGATAACTTCATAAAGTTTGAAGCGAATGGTAGAATTAGAATCCTAGAGTGAATATAAACTATAGGATGCAGGTATATCCAGCTGAATAGTACCAAATAGAACAACACGTAAGTCCTGAATTTCACTACTTATTTACTAACTTACGCCTGTTACCCCTCACAAAGGAGCATAGGCCGCTCATCAGCATTCTCCATCCAACCCTGTCCTTGAAAATCCTTTCAATTTCGTTCCAGTTGTTATTCATCCTTTTCATATCTGCTTCTATTTCCCGACGTAATGTGTTCTTTGACCTTCCTCTTTTCTGCTTCCCTTCACCATTCCAAGTTATGGCTTGCCCTGTAATGCACATTCGTGATTTCCTCAATGTATATGCTATCCACTTCGAACGTCTTTTCCTTATTCCCTCTTCAGCTATAAGCTAGTTTGTCCTTTCCCATAAACCTCTGTTGCTGATAGTACCCGGTCAGTGAATGTTGAGTATTTTGCGTAGACGATTTCCACTACTAACCACCATCATCTCAGCTTATAAGCGAACACTGTGTATATTTTTAGGAAATTGGAACTATTAAGCTGAGATGGATAGTGGCTAGCAGTGGAATCCAGTTGGAAGCGCGTTTCGTCCTATTTGGGACTCGTCAGTTGGATACACCTGCATCTCAGAGTTGATGTTCACTCTGGGACTCGAACCCAGTAACTTTCGCTTCAAACGCCTTCGCGTTATCTACTCGGCCACTGAGTCCTGATAGCCACTTGCTTGTGCGATGAGATGAAGTTTAAATTCATTCAGTATTGTTTGTCTGAATTTTCCCATCGATTTGTTAGGACTGCAACTGGTCATGTGTGCATAATGTATGTATTGCCTCAATATAGCCTTAATTCACAAGCATGGTAAACAGAGACTCAGGATTCAGTGGCCGAGTGGATAACGCGAATGCGTTTGAAGCGAAAGTTACTGAGTTCGAGTCCCTAAAGTGAACATCAACTTTGAAATGCAGTTGTATCCAGCTGACGAGTCCCGAATAGAACGAAATGCATATCCTGGATTCCACTGTTAGCTACTATCTATCTTTTACTTACAATGCTTGTGAATTAAGGCTATATCGATGTGATATACGCACAGTATGCACATATGCCAATTATAGACTGACCAATTGTAGTCCTAACACATCGATGGGAAAATTCAAACAAACAACACTAAATAAATTTAATTGTAACTATTGTTTACAAGTCAAATATCCAATCATAATCCTATATGTTCTGTTAATAAATGAAAACAATTAATCATATATGTCAAAATAAAGTTTACTTTATTGTCTTTAGTTATATATCATGGAATGTTAGAAGAAGTATACCATAAAAATGTAGAACAGCAGAAATAGTTATTCACTATTATATAACTTGTTGAATGAATTTTATGATAAATATCATAAATCATCACTTTATGAACTAAATAAACATGATAGATTCAATGATTCATTTTACATATTCAAAGGTCAGTTAAACTTCAGTTTGTATAATGATGTATGATTTGTTTTATAGATTTCAAATACTCTAGACATTCTTATCTATATAGATACAAAAAAAAAAAAAAAAAAGGAAAGTTCCGTTAGATATTAAAGTTTTATTAAAGGAGTAGATAAATGTAAAACGATGTGCCATTCGATGGAAGCTTTCAAAAAGAATATTTCTTAAAGTAACTAAACATTTTAATGCCGGATACTATCAGTAACAGTGTTTAATGGGAAAGGATAAACCAGATTCCAGTTGAAAAGTAAATTAGGAAAAGACGTTGGAAGTGGATAGGACATATATTAACGAAATCATCAATGTGTATTACAAGGCAAACTTTTACTTGGAATGGTGAAAGGAAGCAGAAAAGAGGAAAGCCAAAGAACACATTATGTCGGGAAATAGAAACAGATAGGAAAAAGATGATTTTTAACTGGAAAGGATTGCTTGGGACAGAGTTGGATGATGAATACTGGTGAGCTAACTATGCTCATTTGCGAGGGGTAACAGGCATAAGTAAGTAAAGAAGTTTGTTATATCTTGTGGCCGAGTGGATGGGTAGTTGATGTGTGACTTGATGAGACCGCCAATTAGGGTGAGCGAATTATCGATTGGAACAGTGACACGAAACCCGTACGAGCAGCCTAGAGTGCTAACCGGTCCTGCGATCTGCCTAACCCAGCCAGTTGAGTCCAGAACACAAATAACAGCCTCGGCAATATGGATCATTATTTACAAACATAATGGGTTTTTATACAAACCAAAGTAATCAATAACTGAGTATAACTCAAGAATCGTATGATAATAAATCAAAGATCAAAATAAAGCTAATGATAAGAGAAACACAAATATGAATCGTTTAGTTACGTAATAATTGTACAATAGGAAATAGGCATATTACATTAATCCATAAATAGACCTAAAAGTTACCATTCGTAATTCACCGGGGGATATAACACCTCCCCTTTTTGAGAAATTCGAGCTCCTCCTCCCCCACGAAATAGTGTTGGATCCTCATATATCCAAGTTTCTATTAATGCGATTCTATTTATAACATGTTTCTGGCATTCAATAGGGAACCTGCTAAAATTGACTGGATGGTGAGGATCGATATTTGATGTGAGGTCAGAATTTGATTCTGCAGAAATGTAGTCATTAGACTTATTGCAAACATCACTGGCAGGTTGTGGATCACTATGATAAACAGCGTCCACCAAAACTGCGCTAGGTTCCAGATTTGCTGCATGTAACAAATTTTCTGGACAAGCTTGGGAATCTTCATCATTAGATTCGGTAAAAATTGTTATTGCAGAATGCGATTCGTTCCGTGTACTGCTCGATATTATGTCTGGTACTTTTTGGGCGGTTATTACGACCATTTCATGGGCATTTGACATGGCATCATGTCAACAAAGTTAGTAATGTTTGTTCAACATATAATATTCTTGTATTGAAAATTGACCTGAACTATGTTCTGCATGTGGTTCGTTATAACTCAGAGCATTTTTCATATATATGTGATTTCATCCTAATTATTGATCAGAAGAAGTGTACAATCTATAAATAAACGAGGGTATTTTCGACTACGGTTGTTTTCGTATTTTGAACTTCATGAGTTTTCAGTTTGTACAAGCTTCTATGTTGTTATTTCATATCAAGGAAATCGTAGTAGTTCCTTATCTTTTTCAAGTATGAGTAATAAACTACACGGACATAACGAGGACTCTATTCACATATCTGATATCATATTTTAAAAAGAAATAACCAATATAGAGATTTATTTACTAATTTTTATGTTGGTTTGTTCTCTGAGCTACAAATCTTCTCCTCCATTTATTTACTAATGAAGAATATTTCTTTCATCCAGCTGACAAGTCCCGAAATAGGACGAAACGCTCATCCTGGATTCCATTGTTAGTCACTATCCATCTTTGCTCATATTTCTTTCATTTCTTTGTATATATATAACAGACATATCCTTTGTAATCAGGTGATATACTGTTTTGTTGTCTAGTAAACTACTGAATATGAATAAAGTTTGTTATTATGAATCATCTTATTGTAATTACATACCAATAAATACGGAATGCTTTTTGTCTACGTGATTATTTTTCTTTTTTTGTATTTTCATAATTGAAATCTTGAGTCAATTGAAGCTAGACCACCATCGAAAACCTGGAAGGACTGGACGGCCGTTTCGTTCTATTATGGGACTTTTAAACAGTGCGCATCCACGATCCCGCCTTGCAAGATTTGAACACAGGACCTATCAGTCTCACGCGCGAGCGTATAACCGATAGACCACAGAGCTGGCCGGCATCCAACGGTGTTAATATCTAACTTCAACCAATCCACAAAGTTTGAGCAACCGTTCACCAATTGTCTTCAGTGAGTTGATATCTCAACAACAGACTTGGTAGAACTCCACTGGTCACTGCTTCCCACTAGAACTCCTGGATTTTTTCTATTGTTCACCTATTGACTTTTTCCAGGTAATTGAATCTTATACATTTCAGATACAAGAATAATTAGTGTTAGTAATGTATGTCGATTTCTTTGCTGTTTTTTTTTGTCACTTTTACAAGTCACTAATGTTTTAACAAAATATTCATAACAATGTACTTCTACGATCTCGCATGGGAGACTCGAACCCTACACTTTCGGTCTCACGCACGAAAGCCTAAGCTCTAGATCACTGAACCCAGTTTACACCGACTAATGAATTCAATTATTGAAAATCACTACGATCTCCACAAACCTCTATTCTAATAAAACAAACATCCATAACAAGGTATTTAGATATGACGTGTAGTTAATGGATATTATTCTTAGCATAAACTGAACTACTTTTAAATTTCAATTAGTGTCTTGTAAATATGACTTCAATTGTGAACAACTTTCTGACTGGTTTCTAACTGGATCTAAAGAATAATATTAAAATGAGGTGTAACAATGAAGTGTATAATTACTCATTGTAATGCCTTAAATCAGCGAAACAATTTTGTTTAAGTTATGTGGATAGAAGTTCTGTGGTGAATTTACTTGCCCTATAGCTGAAGGCTCTGCTTTGATCTTTGACCATGTTGTGAGTGAGTATTGCTTAAGGGTCTTACACTGAGACGGACCAATTTTATTGTGTTTGGCTATAGCCAGTCTGTGATGTTAACCTTCTTCAAAGTGGTTTACAGAAAATTATGAAGCACTTATTTCTCAACTATATACACTGATTTGTTTTTTTTCTTAAAAACTTACAGGCCCCCAAATTCCGTGGTACGGCCGAGAGTGGGGAAGGGCCACCCTCCCTCTCGAAATGCTCTAAAATGGACACGCGTTTATAGCCTCTACCAGGGAATTCCTACTCACTGCCTTCTCGTGTCATCACTGTTGTTTACAAAACTGAGAGGATAAAAAGAGAATGTCTGGCGCTTTAACCGATTTGGTGGACACGGAAAGTTCACGTAGGGGAGTTGGAAAACCGTGATTCCAAACCAATGCTCCACATGGGCTCCAGTATCCTGTGGGAACAAACGGCGTATGAACCAATCGTTGGTCACCGACTACCATGGGACTGCATCTCCTCACGATGCTCCACTGCCTTGTGGGTTAGACCTTTAGGCCGAAGGCTCTGGGTGTGGCCGCTCAAGAAAACCACCTGTTTCAGTTTGGGCACCTGAGCAGTATCCCAGCCCTCACACAAATCAAATGAGATTTGTGTGGTGCATATATATCTGGTGCCTGTTTGTACCAATATTTATGTGTTTAAATAAATAAAATAATACAATTTATAATGATACTAAATACTGGAAAACACGAAGTTAACCATCTTAACTCTTCGCGCCTTTCCTCTTCTTTTATTCTTTGAAGTAACAGGGGATTACATTGGCTTATTACACAATCAATATAGGAAGCATGAAAAAAAATAATTGTAACAAGTAAACTGGCATAAAAAAATTAGGTAACTAAAGATGAATGGCAAACAACAAGTATTCAAAAAGAGTCATCCTGAAAAAAAACTATTCTTTACAGAATTATAATTTGAATGTATGTTAAAAAGAAATGTAGTGTTGCTGGAAATACCTTACTATAATGAAGTTCCTATTATTCAATAATTCAATTATTTATTAGTTCAATTCATGAATCGATTAAAGCAAGATGATCATGAACAACCTGGGAGCACTAGACAGACGTTTTTTTTTCATAGTATGGGAACTGTCGGAAATGCGCACCTACGAGAGATTCGAATCCAGAACCATCAGTATCGCGCGCAAACGCCTAACGTATATATCACTGAGCTGGAAATCAACAGTGTTAATGTCTAACTTCAACCAATACTCAAAATTGAGTGACCGTTCACCATTGCCTTCAATGAGTTACGATCTCACAATAGACTATGTTGCACTCCAATTGTCATAGTTTGTCATTACAACCTCAGGAAATACTTCATGAAGTCTGTCACTAATGAGCACATGGTGATTATTAGCCGAATGGGGGTTTTTGTGGAGATTTTAGTAGTAATTTACTACTCCAGACTTATCATTGAATAACTGTTCCGATATTACTCTAGTTTTGTGTTATTTTTGATCAAGTTGTACATTGTGATACATTGTAATCACTTACTAATTTGATGTGTTAAAAGACATTTTATGTATATCATTAAATAAGGTTTCAGTTATAATTGATTTGAGAGCAATAGAAAACTGATCGTCTTTCTATCTTCATCTTTTGAATTAGAAGGAATTAAAAGACCAATGTACTATAATTATTAGACAATCTATCTTGTAGATTTTCAAATTGTAGACAATTACCTCCTTGCATGTTTCATTATTTTTTTAAATTGTTTTTCAAGTAACCTAACACATACATATGCAAATATGTATACATATCTACATATAGTGTGATATGTGCTACTGATGACAACAGATATAAGTAGTATTTATCATCAATCAAAAGTAAATTACCTAGCGACAGAAGATTAAGAAGATCGAAGAGAAGAGAACGAGAACAGTGAAACGAATGAACAGTGAAGTCTGAGACAATCGATTGACATTTTGCAAATCAAATATTTACTGTATGGTTATCAGATTTTACTAAGTTGTTGTGTAATTTTGTATTCAAATACAGTGATTGTCTCCATTGGTGTTCTCGCTCACTACAGTAGTAATGATGATTGCTATTATTTCAATACTTTCAATCACTGATGTTATTTATTAAACATTATGTTATATATCAGAGGGTGTTTTGTGGAGAATTTAGTATTTTCATAGTTGAAATCATGGATCAATCGAAGCTAGACCACCATCGAAAACCTGAAAGCACTGGACGGCCGTTTCGTCCTATTATGGGACCCCTCAGCAGTGCGCATCCACGAACGGTCGCTCAAAATAGTGGATTGGTTGAAGTTAGACATTAACACCGTTGGATGCCGGCCGGCTCTGTGGTCTATCGGTTAAGGGCTCTGGCTCCAGACTGGTATGTCCTGGGTTCAAATCTCGCGAGGCAGGTTCGTGGATGCTCACTGTTTAAAAGTCCCATAATAGAACGAAACGGCCGTCTAGTTCTTCCAGGTTTTCCATGGTGGTCTAGCTTCAATTGACCCATGATTTCAAATATGAAAATTATGTTATATGTCAATATGAACTCAGTTAAAGGTAACTGTTAAGATTCAATAAAATAGAACTAGACTAATGTTAACGGGAAGGAAAGCGGGAAAGAGAAAGGTCGAAGAACATATTACTCCAGAAAATAGAAGCAGATATGAAAAGGATAAATAACAACTGGAAAGAACTGTCCAGAGCATGGTTGGATAGAGAATACTGGTGTTCGGTCTATGCTCCTCCACGAGGGGTAGCAGGCGTAAGTAACTTAGTAATATTATTCTATGACAACCTTTATTTCTGGTTTATTCAAATTTATAAAAAAAAAGTTATCTATATAAAAGTAAACAATCATAATTGATATTTCAAATCAATAAATTTGATATTAAAATCAAAACTTATAAAATAATGATCAATATCATTTAGTTGCCATGACTCAATCAAACTATTGAAAATTTTAAAAAAAAAAATGAGTTCATTAAGAAATTGTTCTTTCGTATTCAACGAAACGTTACCCATTTCCATGGTGTGACTAATTGTGATCCTACCATCTAGTTTCAGGCAATATCAACTCCAGTTAGGGTACGAGAGGCCGTAAAGTTTGGTTTAGTCCTAATGAAGGTAGTCTCTCAGTTAGTCCAGAGTTTTGCCAACTCACTGACAGATGAAGATTCAACCACTTGCTAGATAAGTAGTTCCAATGTTCGACGACTCGACAGCTGAGTCAGTAGTCATCTAATAAACTCTTAAATTTTTTTTTTAACTCATACTCTTTTTTGAAATGTCTCTGTAAATGTAAAATCAATTTAAACAAATCAATATTACCCAGGTAACTAATTTATTTATCAATATTTATTAGTTATTATTAGAAAAAAAAATCAACAAAGAACGTTGAAAACAGTTGGAAAAAACAATTGGATACTAAAGAATAATGGATAGTTAATTCATTTTAGTTTCTAAATATCCCTGTAGTATTGTAATGAACAAGAACACAAGGGGGGGGACAACCGAAAGTATTGGACATGAAAAATATAGACTATCTAACTAAAATCTGATAACCATACAGCAAACAGTTAATTTGCATATTATCATTCAATTGTTTCAATCTTGACCATTTCTTTTGCAAATATCAGTCCACAGTCTCTGATTATTATTCTTTATGCATTTTCCTACCAATTATGTTTCGTTCCATCATTTCCTTATCGATGTTATACTGAAGTACATTCAATGCCTGACTATTGTCATATACTACTTAAGTAACCCAAACCATAGTATATATTCATTCCAGTAATTTAACGTTTACGAGCTCAGAAGGGGTTTTGTGGAGATTTCAATAGTTTTCATAGTTGAAAGCATGAGTCAATTGAAGCTAGACCACCAAGGAAAATCTGGAAGCACTGGACGGCCGTTTCGTCCTATTATGGGACTCCTCAGCAGTGTGCATCCAAGATCTCGCCTAGCGAGATTCGAAACCAGGACCAGTCTTGTGCACAAGCACTTAACTGATAGACCACTGAGCTGGCTGGCATCCGATAGTGTTCATGTCTAACTTCAACCAATCTAAGAAGTTGAACAACTGTTTATTTATTGTCATTTATTATAACTAAGTCATGATTAACATCAGGACTCAGTGGCCGAGTGGATAATGCCATGGCGTTTGAAGCGAGGGTACTAGGTTGGAGTCCCAGAGTGAACATCAACTCTGAGATGCACGTATATTCAGCTGACGAATCCCAAATAGGTCGAAACGCACGTCAAACTGGATTCTACTGCTAGGCACTATCCATCTCTGCTTACCATGCTTGTGAATTTAGGCTATATCGAGGCAATATGCACAGTATGCACATATGGTAATTAGAGACTGACTAGTCGTAGTCCAAACACATCGATGGGAAGATCCGAACAAACAATACTAAATGAATCTATTAATAATGGTTTCTTACTAGAATTATAAAAGTTGAAATTCATGAACATTAATCTAAGCTGTAGTTATTTGCTATTATGTTTCATCCGAGTAATTTAACGTTTATGTGTTCATTACGAGATCTGAATGTTTCGGTATAAAGTTGAAGTGAGTTTATGGATTGATACTAATGAGTTATCCTATCTACCATGATGAAGGATTTATCTAGTGCTTTATGGTTTACAATGATACTCTAACCAAAGTCAATCTGTTAAAAATATCACCTACAAAGACAAATATCACTTACAGTAATGTCATTATTAACTAACAAAGCGGGAAGTTCTTGATTAACATATACACTTTGATCAGGCAACTCGCTTACTTATATTTAATATTTTACTAAAAAAAGATTTTTAAAAATGTAGATGATCACAACTAAAAATTACATTCAAAACTTGATCTCTCATCATTAGTCTAGTTTAATATCAGTAAAATATCTCAGTAATAAAGAATAGGCCATCGATCAGCATTATATAACCCACTCTATCCTAGGCTTTCCTTTCTAAATCTATCTCTCTGGAGTCCCTCTGTGGTTACTACCTGTCTCAAGCCCTGGATAAAAGAGGAGAGTTGAACATGTAGTTAACGACTCCATCTGATAGAAAACTAACTCGTTAAAAAAAAAGAAAAACACTAAGCAATAGAAATATCAGCTATATATATTCATCATATATAAATAGGCCATTTTTTTTACTCAACCTAACTCAACTACTTATATAATCATAGTTATGAGTAGTTATGTATAGAAGAAACAAATATATATATATATATATATATATAGGAACTAACCAACAATGAAAAACAATGATTGAATAATTTGTTTGTTATGGTGTTGTTGTTGTTGTTTCTTCTTGTTACCATAGTAACAATTTAATATTTAGATAATAAAAGTTTTAAACGTGCACGAAAACTTTGATTAAATAATGAATAAATAAAAAAATTTACAGCATTATTAACATAATAAAATTCATGATGTACAGTTGTCATAAAATTTCCTTCATTATTTTGATTATTTATAGTATGATTGATATTATTATTAGTAGAGTGATTATAGTTATTGTTGTTGGGGTTAGTGGTGGTAGTGATGGTGTTATTGTTGTTGTTGTTAGGGGTGGTGTTAATGGTATATTTCCACCAAAATTTAAAATGTACCCATAATACAGGAAATAATGTAGCATAAAATATTACAGTCGATATAAATATCATTAAACCTGTACGATGACTACGTGTTACACGTTTAGTTACTAAACGATTTATAGATAAAGATATTGGAGATTGTATTGTTGTTGTTGTTGTTGTTGTTGTGTTGGTGGTGTTGGTTGTTGTTTTTGTTGTTGCTGTGTTAATCATTTGTTGATGAATAGATTGATTATTATTATTATGTTTTATCATAGTTTCTTGTTTATCATGTGAATGCTCAAATAGAGTTGTTATAGATGGTGTTTTAAGGATTGCACGTTTCTTTAATGTATTCCATTGTATAGTTTGTGTATCATATTGATTTGTTATGACTTGATCACAACTTAATTGTTTTATTAATCTATATGATAATCCCGATCTTCTTGATTGTATTGTATGACAATTATGTTCATGAGATTTTTGATGATTCAATGGTATTGATGACGTAGATTCACTTTCCCCAGTTAACTTTATTACTCCTGAATCTACTACTTCACTGTCGTATACTGATGATTGTAAGAATGAATTTGATTTATTCAATATTTTCATAGATGAATAATTTACATTTTTCACAGTTAACCATCGTTGTTTACGTAAATCATTCTCTCGAACTGTTCTAAATATTCTTGCATATAAATAAGTAATAATGATGAAAGATAAAAAGGTCAACAAGATATATACTTGATTTACAAGTTCACGAAGTCTTTCAGTTAGTTGACAATCCCATTTACTTAAATCTAATACAATCAATATACATTCAAATAAACATGTTCCTATAATAACTGTAATTAACATTGATGTAATACATGTATTTGATTTACAAACTTTATTACTTTTATATTTCATATTGTTCGAGTTTCTTGAATTCATCAATTTCGGTGAAGTTCTTATTGAACTAGAATTAGAAAGAACATTTATAGAATGAATAGTTTTATCATAAGTTGATTTATTCAAATGTACTGATGTACCCTTTTGTAATAATGAGGAAAATTTTACAGAATTCATAATTTTATTATTTATATTTTTATTATTTTGTATTTTATTCAATGATAGACAACATATAGATTTACATATATCTAATTGAACAAGTATCATATATCGTTCAAATGCTATAGCAGCTAATACACTACCTTCACATGCAAATATTATATTACGTAATAATGTTAAAATAGCATTTAATTTATAATTAGTATAGATTCCTTTTATATCATTCATTTCTATATAATTCTCAATTGATATGTTCCTATATATTTCATCAATAGGTATAGATATAGGTATAGGTATAGGTATAGGTATAGTAGTTTCATCATATGCATAATTAGCAACACGATATATATCCCATGGTAATATAAATACACATGTTAATAAATCAATAAATGCAAGTAGTAAAATTAAATTTTGTTGACTTAATGTATTTTTACGTAATAACAATTTATTTGATTTTTTTATTAAATTAAAATGATCTTTATTGAAGATTGATGGATTCGAACCTGGATTCTTTATTGTCAAGGTATTTAATGTATTACCGGTAATATTCTGTTTTGTATTATTATTCATTATTGTATGATTAATGATAAAACGATTAGTATTAATTTTAGGTTTAATACAATAAACAATAATAACTAAACTATTTCCAATAATACCTAATATACATATTATACTTAATAGAATAACTGATATGATAGATTGGATAAAGGATATATGATCTGTTTCATGTAAATTATTACATTGATGCAATGAATTGTTTAATAGTATATCAGTAGTAGTAGTATTCATAATTATTCAATAAATTAATCCGCTGAAAGGAAAGGAGATAGGTTGGATCAATCGTTTCTGTAGTCCAAGGTTCAAGTTTGAGTTTGTCGATTGAATTCCTTTGAAGGATTATATGATTATTATTCAAAATTAGGGTTAAAAAAGGGAGAAAGGTTGGATCAATCGTTTCTATAGTCCAAGGTTCAAGTTTGAGTTTGTCAATTGAATTCTTTTGAAAGATGATTTGATTATAATTCAAAATTAGGGTCAAAAAAGGGAGAAAGGTTGGATCAATCGTTTCTGTAGTCCAAGGATCAAGTTTGAGTTTGTCGATTGAATTCTTTTGAAAGATGATTTGATTATAATTCAAAATTAGGGTCAAAAAAGGGAGAAAGATTGAACAAATCGTTTCGGTAGGCAAAGTTCAACTTTGACTTTGTAGATTGAAATGATTGAATTCTTTTGAAGGATGATTTGACATTGTGTAAATTCTTAATTAGATCATCTTTTAATGTGATTAGGGTGTTTTTGTTTTCGTTTGCCTAACTATTAATAATGAAATGGTTATTGTACAAAAACTGGTTTTGATTGGATATTGAATTGTAGATATTCATTGGTTTATTTTGTTTTGTTTTTTGTAACTTTTATATGAAATAAATACAAACGCTAAATTCATTTGGTATTGGTCGGTTGAAACTCTGCCTGTAGCTCCTTCGGGGCGTACTGCCGGTCACAAGACCGGGTAAAGAAGGAGGGTTGGGCATGGGGTTAGCTATTCCATCTTGTAGAAAGCCAACTCGCTATAAAAAAACTGACCATATTAAATTTTTTGATTGAATCTGATGAATTACAATACTAAATACCAATGGGAAGATTCAACCAAACAATACTAAGTGAATTTAAACTTCATCCTATTGCAAAAGCAAGTAGCTATCAGGACTCAGTAAATAAGTGAATAATGCGATGGCGTTTAAAGCGAAAGGTACTGCGTTCGAGTCCCAGAGTAAATATCAACTCTGAGATGCAGGTACATCCGGCTGACGAGTCCCAAATAAAACGAAATGCGAGTCGTGGATTCCACTGCTAGCCAGTCCTAGTTACAAAATGCGTTCTAGTTACTTAGATATGAAATAGTTTAGTTGGAAGTTATTTTTGAGAACAAATTAGTATAATATAACAAGGATGTAAACAAATTTATCAGACTGAATAAAATATTGTCAACATATAACTTATATTAAAGTACATTCTATTATATTGTTTGTTACAAGACATTGCCATACAACGGAGGGAACATGGGACAGTTCAACGTTCAGTTTATCGAAAAAGTACTTAAATGTGTCTTTGACTGAATTTCAATATTTGTTGTCCAATCATTTACAAGAAAACATTGCTTTAAACACTATTTTATAGGATAGAAAGGATATGTACCACTGACAAACTGGAAGAAGAATCAAAAAAATGTTGAAAAATGCCTAAAAGACAATTTCTACTTACAGAAATGTTTTTAATGGAAATCAATCTAAAGAACACAAGATGAGTATGGCTACAGTCAATAAGGAACCAATATCTACATATTTCAAATTCAAAGGTGATGATGTCACAAACAAAATCAGAAGGAGGTTTAACACTGCATTATCCAGAACATACCCGGTAGCCAAACTATTAATTCTGTACAAAACAACATGTTCATTAACCCAATCAAAGGTTAAAAACACCCCTTTCATGTTACCGCCAACTGTGTTTATAAATTTACGTGTACCTTCCAAAGCAGCCACATTGGCGAATAGAAAGGGGGGGCACATCTTAGATGTTTCAAACATGTTCCAAAATGTCTTAGAACCAGAGAAAAAACGACTTTAAACAATCCAATTAATAAAAATCTCATGCATCCAGGACATCAGGTCGATACCTTACAGTCTTTCAAAGTGATTAACAAACAACCAAACTCTAGGCTTATTAAGTATGCTAAAGCTGTTCCTTTCAGAAGTCATAAACCTCACTTACGTCCAAAACGTGATGCTTATCAATGTTTCTTTACCTTGAAAAAAATATTTCTTTCAGAAGGAGTTTTATGGAGATTTTAGTAATTTTATAGAGTTGAGATCATGAGTCAATTAAAGATAGACCACCATCGAAAACCTGAAAACACTGGATGGCCGTCTCGTCCTATTATGGGACTCCTCAGCAGTACGCATCCACGATCACGCCTCACGAGATTTGAACACAGGATCTACCATTCTCGCACCAGAGCACTTAACCGATAGACCACAAAGACGGCCGGCATTCAACGGTGTTAATGCCTAACTTCAACCAATCCACAAAAATGAGCAACCGTTCACCAATTGTCTTCAGTGATTTGTTATCTCTCAACCACGTCTGTTCGAGTTTGAATCCCGCGAGTGCGGGATCGTGGATGGGCACTGCTGAGGAGTTCTATAAAGGAGGAAACGGCCGCCCAGTGCTTCCAGGTTTAACATGGTGATCTAGCTTTAATTGATTCATGATTTCAACTATGAAAATATTCCTTTACTGTATTATAGAAAATTTGTCTTCAACCCTTTTCAGTTCCCCTATTGCTAGCTCTTTAGACACTTATAACAATCAATATAATAGAATGTACTTTAATATAAGTTATATGTTGACAATATTTTATTCAATCTGATAAATTTGTTTACATACTTGTTATACTATACTAATTTGTTCTCAAAAATAACTTCTAACTAAAGTACTTCATGATGATGATGATGATGATGATGATGATGATGATGATGATGATGATGATGATGATGATGATGATGATGATGATGATGATGATGATGATGATGATGATGATGATGATGATGATGATGATGATGATGATGATGATGATGATGATGATGATGATGATGATGATGATGATGATGATGATGATGATGATGATGATGATGATGATGATGATGATGATGATGATGATGATGATGATGATGATGATGATGATGATGATGATGATGATGATGATGATGATGATGATGATGATGATGATGATGATGATGATGATGATGATGATGATGATGATGATGATGATGATGATGATGATGATGATGATGATGATGATGATGATGATGATGATGATGATGATGATGATGATGATGATGATGATGATGATGATGATGATGATGATGATGATGATGATGATGATGATGATGATGATAATGATACAGGTGTTTATTAGTAGTTGTCTAAGAAAAATACTTCGTACCCGCTAGCCAGACATTATCAGCAACAACCTACTGTGGGAGAGAACAAACCATATTCCATCCAGTGAAGGAAGAAATCAGGAAAAAGCGCTGGAAGTGAATAGGACACACATTGAGGAAATCACTCAACTGCGTCACAAGTCAAGTCCTCACATGGAATCCTGAAGGCTAAAAGAGAAGAAGAAGACTAAAGGACACATTACGCCGATAAATGGAAACAAACATGAGATGAATGAGCAGAAATTTGGTAGAACTACAAAGGGAGGGTAGAACAGAGTGGATTGGAGAATGCTGTAGGGCGGCCTATACTCCGTTGGGGGTAACAGGTGTAAGCAGGCAAGTAAGTATAGTGAGAGCAGAAGGCCAACGGCCTATGTTATTTTTTTCTAGTATGCTTCCCTGAGTGTCTAGCCTTGTCTTAAGTGAATTAATTGAAGGTGCACACACCGCTGCCTCTGGTAACAGGTTTCAATAATTGATGACTCTGTGTGAAAACCTGTATGCCACGCGTATTTCGTTCGTTCTTGGCTTTTCTACTCTCCTCTTATGTCATCTCAGATATCCCAATATAGTGGGAAGAAAAAGAGAGGATATATTAGATCCAAAACCATTTATCCTTATTCTATACATCAAAATCAGATCACTTCTAAATCTGTGATAAAACAGAGTATATATGCACAGCTTTTCAAACCGATCTTTGTATGGTAAACCACGGAGTTCTGGAGCTGCAGGGGTTGCTGCCCTCTGTACTTTATCCGGGATAACCGAATCACCATTTAAACAGAGTCTTGCAGTCTAAACGCAGTTTTCAAGGTTAGTTCTCACTAAGGTCGCATATACTGCAGTGAGCATGGTAGTATCTAACTTGGTAAATGTCTATCTTAAAGCCCATAGTGTTCTAAAACCCTTAGCTGCAACTTCCCAGTATGGTCTTAAGATCATGACTCACTGTCACCCGAGATCCTTGTGAGATCTGACCACGGGTATGCTTCCAAAAGAAGCTAATTACCAACGTCAATTTATATTCAACTGACGAAATTAAACTGAATTAGATCACATGTATGTTTTATTGGATAAGAATTACAATTCCGAATGATATTATATACTACTTATACCGACAAGCATAAGTAGTATACACCAAAGAATTACTAATACTAACAAGAATATTTAAAATAGATTTGATTGTTAAGTTACAAATTTCTATCAAAATAAAAAATAGAAAGTTTATAGCCAAGTAAAATAAATTTCAGCAAAAAGATCAAAATAAAATCAACTTGAAAACAAACAGGACTATCAGGCTATCAGTACTCAGTAGCTGAGGGGATAACGCGATGGCGGACGGTACTGGGTTCGAGCCCTAGAGTGAACATCAACTCTAAGATGCAGGTACATCCAGCTGACGAGTCCCAAATCAGACGAAATGCGCGGCAAACTGGATTTCACTGCTAGCCACTATCCATCTTTGCTTATAGTGCTTGTGAATTTAGGCTATATCGAGGCAATAAGCACAGAATGCACATATGCCAATTGGAGACTGACAAGTTGAAGTCCTAAAAACATCAATGGGAAGATTCAAACAAGCAATAGTAAATGAATTCATTCAGTATTGTTTGTTTGAATCTTCCCATCGATTTGTTAGGACTGCAACTGGTCAGTCTCTAATTGGCATATGTGCATACTGTGCGTATTGCCTCAATATAGCCTTAATTCACAAGCATGGTAAGCAGAGATGGATATTGGCTAGCAGTGAATTTAAACGTCACCCTATTACACAAGCAAGTGGCTATCAGGACTCAGTGGCCGTGTGGATAACGCGATGGCGTTTGAAGCGAAGTGTACTGGATTTGAGTCCCAGAGTGAACATCAATTCTGAGATGCATGTACATCCAGCTGACGAGTTCCAAATAGGGCGAAACGCGCGTCATGGATTCCACTGCTAGCCACTATCCATCTCTACAGTAAATGAATTTAAACAGGGACATATGTGCAGATTATCATATACACATTTGATACAACGTTTAACTGACTACTTAGTGACGAAATATTATTGTTTATAAAGCATTTCAAATCACAACAAACTTGTTAAATGTCAAAATCATTATCATCATCTTCAACATCGAAAGAGAGAAAGAAGGAAAGAAACAGAAGTATTTGTTGACAGCAAACAAATGAACTATATTATTACAAGTGGATTAGTATTATCACAAAAACAATATTGAAGTAAGTGTGTCTTGATAAATAAACAGATAAGTATTAAGATAGATTAGATAAATAGGTAGGTAGATAGT